ATAGTCTTCTAGATCATACTAAAATATTACATCCCTACAAGTCGTTTAATTTTGAAAATTCTTCAAAATTTGCAAAAATAAGTATCGTTTTTTTGGCATTTGTCAAAATTTGACCCTTGTTCGACGTTTTTTCGACGGCTGGACCGATTTCAACAATTTAAAAACCATTTGATGTATCTCAATGAAGACTAAAGTTTGCCAGTTTTGTGAGATGATCTGCCGAGCAGTTTCTTTGTAATTTGAAAAAAAAGTGTTAAACTTTTCGTCTACATTTAACCTCAAACTACCGAACCGCTTTTACGTAAAAAATAAAAAACTGTTCGAAAGATACTAGTTGTGAATGATACTGATTAGTTTTAGGTGAAAATTTACCGAGCCGTTTTCTTGTAATTAACTGTTGAAAACAAAATTGAAGCCGATTTTTATGGAACTTTTTATGGCGATACATATGATGGTCTTATAGAACTTACTGAAATATTATGCCCTTACGACAAGTAGTTTAATTTTAAAAATTCAACAAATTTTAAGATAATGAGTAGTTTTTTGACGTTTGTTAAAATTAAAATTAGACGATTTACTTGGTATAACGATAGAGTACTTGGTTTTAATGAACATACTGAGCCATTAAAGTCCTATGGAAGCTGGTTCAATTATAAAAGATGTTGATTTGTGAAAATTTGCTTTTAGAAAATACTCCGAGTTAAAGTGTTCGTTCGTTTTCAATTATGTTTAATAAATCCACTCGGAATACTTTTAATTGCTCATAAATTAATTTATTTTTTATTGATTAAGTCGACTATCTATCGGGAAGTTCATGTAATTTGCCTCAAGGCAAAATACCAAACCAACTAGTTAATTTATATTGATTTGACTATGATTATTATTACAATTTTCAATTTTAATTTTGTGGGAGGGTGCCCAGATTAGTGAAACACGCAAAGAGCTTTGCGGTAGCTTCGCCTGTGTAACCCATTAAAGGATACGTTACCGCGCCACTGACTGTGTACATATGACATGTGCCATGTTTAACATCGGTAGAGACATCATGTTAAAATTTCACACAGTGTGAAAACACATGATTTTTCCGCTTCTGATGAATTTTACATCAGCTAACCAAAACAGAATAAAAAGCTGTTGTGAGCGTTCGGTTTTACTAAAAGAGAACTGACAAAAATAAATGCTGTGCAAGCATTTTTATTTATTATTAGTGTTTCGATATTATTCACATTGTTATTTAAATGCAATATTTTTTTAAGAAAGATACGGAGATCAGGAATGATCAACTAATAATCTACAATAATAATAAGGATGTCAATTTATGTGAAAAGCATTTAATTAGCATCAAGTCTAGTTACTCTTTCGTCGCTAATTAAACTCGTAATCCACAAATCTAAAACTCGTAATCTTTTATATATTGAGCTCTATGTCAAACTCTAACTTTAGCTTCAACACAAACAATATAGATTTATTGCTTTCACTATGTATTTCAAAATATTCACGTCTGGGTTCACCACGAAAACATATTTTATAAAAAAATAATTATTTGAAATAATAAGTATCACCAATATTCGACGTGTAATTTTTCTTACTACTATGTATACATATGTAGTTGTTGCATTACGCTTTTACTTAAATATAAAATATCAATTCATATAATTATTTCGACAAATATAATACAAAATAATTTATTTCATAATTGAATAAATTGATTTTATTATCAAATAGCCTTTCGTAAAAAACTAGCCATTTATCAAAACTTCATTTAATAGCAATTTGTACTTTTAATCACAGTGTACGGTCTTTGTTGGTATATTGCTTATTATCATATAATATAGCATAAAATGTAACCTATAACTATAAAATGTAATAACTAAATTGAAAAATATATGCATCGTAGTTGTCAGAATGGTGCTTATTTATTATTCAGAAATAGTTATCTACAACCACACTTCTTATAAATCGAAAAGGTTTTGTTAAAATATTATATGATGTGCCTTCAATTTTGGTAAATAATTTATAAGTATTTATATATACACTTATATATATATATATATATATATATATATATTCATTTAATTATCTATTTGAATTCATATTTAAAATATTATTACAAATTTAAACATCAGCATCATAACCACACAAGCACAACCGTCATAAACACAAGTTTTGTTATGTAAATATTATTGGAAAATAAAACTTATAAATTTAAATGTTTTATGTGCCACATTTATGAATACGATTCAACGGCAATAGCATATTTGATTAAATCATATAAATATTGTGCATATAAGAGATATATTAATGCATCAGTAAAAATATTAACTGTATTGTTGAACCCTGGGGCAGTTTTTATAATAAGTGCCATTTTTTGAGGATCTCATATACAAATGTATTTCAAAATATAATTTTATTTATCTGAACATATTTTATTCATTATTTTACCTAATGAGATTTCGTAGATGTGTTGGAATTTGCTAAATATCTGGTAGAGGAAACAAAGCCATAATCCTCAAAGCTCTGCTGGCACGGAGATCAAACTCTTAGCTCTTCGCCGAGTAATAAAAAAATGTGATCCTTATATATGCCTGCTCAAAATTCGTGATATAAAATATGTCAAGTTTTTTATGATTATATATATTTTATTTAACATGATGCTGAGCAGTAGACATGCTTTTAGTATGGCAAATTATATTTTCCGCGTTTTCTCTACTTATTGATTTATATAAATTATATAATTTAATTAAAAATTTGCAATTATATAAAGAAGGCGTCCAATAATTAAGGACCTCTTTCACCTCATTGGTGATATATGGTGATATTCAAAGTTACTCCCTCAATCATCCCCGTAAAATGTTTGGAATTTCTTTTTTTTTTTAAATTCAAGGAAAATATAAATACAAGCAGTATCTTGTTAGACCACTGCACTCGCACGTGATTTTTCAACTCTTCCTCAAAAGTTATTATTACATCAAAATACATAATGCAAACACAAAACAAAAATATATCAAAGAAAATATTACTTTACAAACGTTAATTATACATAAAAATGAAATATACTTCGAAAAAAAAAGAAACGAAAATAATAAAAGCCTCAAATGATAAAATAAGACGAGTAACATTTTCTTTGTCATGTTTCTGTTTTGTGTTTGTGTATTAATCTCTTGTGTGTTTTGATTTTGTTTTCACTGAGAAAGGGTCAAATTGGAACTCGAAACGTATGGATGGATCTATTAAATTTATTTTAAGAAACATTTTGTAGTCTTTTTTTATTTTATATTTGAACGATTACAAGTTACGAAATTTTTTTTTCTATCCACACACATACACATACACATACACACACATGTATATATATATATATATATATACTAGCTGACCCGGCAAACGTTGTTTTGCTAAGTAAGGTATATTCTAAACAATTTTTAGAGAATCAAAAATATTAATACTTTTAGTGTATGAGGATGTGTTGTTTGAATACTATATACAATGAGGTATTATAAAAACAATAAACCCCATTAATTCGTCTATATTTTGTCAATATAATCAAACTGCAAGTTTCATACACTTTCTATAGAAAATATGGTATAACCCAATCCAAGTCTTTTTTGGTCTTTCGAATTATTGATTACGTTTCATGTTTTTTAGATTTTTTTTGGATTTTGGATTTTGTGTATAATTGTAAATAATACTACTGAGCTTATACAAAATTTTCAAATTTCTGCGAGGAGAGATAAAAAATAAACTAAGTATTTCTTCCCTGACCTGCTTTTTGAAAAGTTTCAAGTAACATTCTATGAATTAAAGCAAAGATAATAAACTATATTATGAAAACCAAAACAATTATATCACAACAAATAACACATTTCAAACGAACAATTTTCTGACTACGTTCAGTAAAACTGTCACCTACTTCTCTTTGTAGAAATGTGCTTTTTGCAGTATTTCAAAAATTTGTTATCTAGTGCTTTTTACCCTATAGGCGAAGTAACTTGGAACGACCAAGTGGCAGACAGGTTTAATGTCTTATTTTAATTTTAAGGGTACTTTACAAAATAATTACATTTTTAATTAATGCCAAACTACCAACGGGAGAAAATACTTTTATTATGGACTTTCAAAGATTATCGTTTATCTCCCGATAGGTTATACATTTTTTCCCTCTACTTTCAAATATCTTTGTTAAACAATGCTTAACTTTACTAGTTTTTGACACATTGCTGGTGAACCTTTTTAACCCCGGACCTTCATATATTACTATCTATTCTACGATAAATTCTGAGAAATTATAACTTGGAAAATGTTATTCGAGAAAATGTCCCTTTGATCGATACCAAATTTAGGTTCTGAATTTAAATAACAAAAATAAAAATAATATAACCTAGAAAATGTTTTATAAATACCAATGAGTATATAATTATACAAATGAGATCTTTCAGAGCACCGTGTTTGAGAAAAATATGATTTGCAAAAAAGAGTACTACAACGCCAAAAAGTGCATTTTCATATTATCATTTCAAAAAAGTTGATATTTTGAGTTTCTAGTAACACTTGCGGCCGGTTTACAACGTTTTGTATATAAATAAAACTACAAACAAAAGTACTCACCATAATTAAATCATAATTAAATAATATTTACGTAAAACACCCTATTAAACGTAATTGAATATCATCTGTCAAAAACGTTTGACATTTCACTTATTAGCCACCGTCCATTGTTTTATTCAAAATTCGCTTCTACAAAAATTTTCAAATTAAAAATGTAAAGTTTCTACGCGATTTTGAAATAATATCTCACCTTTCCGACCACCTACTGATTAACACAAATTTTTCAAGACTAAGACTGGCCAAATCGGTTTAGCCGTTTTCGAGTTTTAAGATTTATATATAAGATACTCTACAAATTGTATATTAATATTCATTATCTAGTGCTATTCAGTGTTTGCGAAATGATTGTTTTTTTTTTAATATCAACCGATATTGATATTGTTTTTGGTTTCCAGATTACCCGTGCCTTGGCTATTGTACGGGATCATATACGGCAAGCCCGTGCAAGTTAATTCTGTCGGTATGGTCTGTTCTATCGCCATACTGTTCATGATGCTGTTATTTGTGATCTTGTCGATCGCGTGCTTCCATTGGAAAATGAACAAGGGTCTTGGATTCACAATGTTCCTGCTCTATTTTGTCTTTGTCGCCATATCCTTAATGTTCGAGTACGAGTACATCGTGTGTCCTGTATAAAGGACGACTTTGTCCATCAGCACATTTTTTGATATACAGAAGCGGCGTTGATTTATAAACCTGTAGGTTCAAATTTATTTATCCAAATTTAATTTTGACAACTATTGGTAAATACAATTTATTGGTAAATGAATAGTATATATATATATATATATATATATATATGCAGAGTTTAGTGACCGGTCAATAAAAATCTAACATTAATAAAATCTCGAATTTCTTTAAAAATATATTCTAAAATCTATTCGTTTTAGCTATAGTCCCAGCCTTCATTCAGTGGAAACTTCATAGAATTTAAAAACTAAAATATATAACTGATGAGTTTAAAAATCTATAAAAACTAAAATGTACTCAAAACTAAAAGTTAACATCTTGACTGTGGGTGTCGACAACGTGTCAACTTACCTTGCTTGGTTTTTGGTGCCGCTATCGGCAGTGCCACATTTACTTCGAATCTATTCCCAATTAAGCGGCATTGAGTTAGTGATTCTAAAACACTTTTCACCATCGCTACTTAAAAAATGTTTAACCCTCCGTCGGTCGGATATTTTTTCACCTTCGAACGGTCGGAAAGGTCTGGCTAGACCACCATTCATTTTACATGCATTTATATGGATAAATGAGATTTTGGTGTCTTATATATTAACGATTATCAGTAGTAAATATTTTTAGTTTTGATTTTTTCTTTTTCTTACCGTCTTTTGCATGTGTTGAGCTTGCTTATAATAAAAATATTACATATTTCATTATATAAAAAAAATCAAGAAATATAAGAAAATCGTTGCTTTTTTTGTTAATTTTTCTGTTTTATATCGATGAAAAACAATATTTATTCTTTTTCGGCGCCTTTGAAATGAATGTGAAATTGAAATGAAAACGAAATGAGATGCGTCGCCTTTGAAATGAGCTGTAAAACTCAAAGTGAAAATATAATTTCACTACAGGTTTGCCAAAAAAAAATTTCGAACGCAGTACGGATAGAAAAATTGTTGATAATGTGTGCATTACTCATCCGATTTTTAGTGTTAGCCATTACCAATAAGTTTAGTAGGTTTTCAAGGAACTCTCGTCATGAAAATACTAACATTCATGTTACAACACATAGCAAAGAATATACACAACGCAGTTTGAATAGAAAATACCATGATAAAAGACAAAATACTGGTTTACATATATCAAAAAGCGTATATTTCATACAAAATGTATAGGTGGTCTAAACAGACTTTTCCGACCGTTCGAAGTATAAAAAGTTAATATCCTTATAATTATCCTTCTGTACATTTTTTCGTCCTGATTTTTTCATTGATAGACAGCTAATGAAATTTTAGGAAAAGTCAAGGAATTTCAAGTCGATAGGATTACTAGAAGTATATTTTTTTTAATTGAAGTCGAAAAAAGTCGAAAAAAATAAAATTATTTTTTTAAAATAATACAAAGTGAATGAAACTATTTCAGATAAACAGTTTCAACAATAGAAGAACGATATAGGTCCAAAGACCTCCGCAGTCAGGGTGTTAAAAACTAAAAACAAAAACAATAATCCATGGTATTAGCTTATGATAATGCTTTTAACGATATAATATGAACATTAAATTAAATGTATTTATAACAATATTTCACAATTTTGCTATTGTTGTAAATACAAGTTTAATGTAGAATACTGATATGCGATTAACTCAGAATTTTTCATCAGTAATATTTTTCGTTATTTGTTTATAAATAAACGTCGCCTTTGGCAGTATTTTTTTTGTATTTATAGTTTAAGAAATAATGATGGTGATGCAGACTTTATTAGTTAAAATAATGTATGCGTTTTTCGCTTGTCCGATATTAAATTATTGAAAAATCAAATTATAAAAATCACAACTAGTAGTAAAAGAGACAGGCTCTATATTTTTTCAAGAGGCTCGATATACTGATGATTTTCAATGAATTTCCTGTTAACTGATTATTATCTGCGGGTATACTCAAATTATTTTTGATGTTAAATGATACTAATAGATTTATGATTAAATGAAATAGGTTGTTGTAGTTTTAGAATATAATTCAACATACATATAACGATATGTTACAAGTGGTATTTTTCCGTATCATTGATACAATTAACAATTACAAATTAAAGTAAAAATCAACAATAATTAATTTTTTTTTAATATATAAAAATCGTGGTTTTTCTAATTTTATTCAAACGTCTAGTTATATATACGATACACTGTGTAAATATTTACGATACATTATCTGTAACGTTATACATACGTTATAACGTTACAGATATATGCATTGTGATGCGGTATTGCAGAAAATATAATTAGTTTAGGAAAATATTGATAGGAAAAATGAAGATATATTGAAGGTTAAATGAGTACGAAAATAGTATATTACGTATATAGAAAAAAATAAAGTTAAATAGGCATAGCTAGATATATTATTGCGCTAAATATTAAACAATTTGGAATTTGTGTGCATTTATTTATTTGCATTTCAACTTCTAAAATCTTGGCTTTATCTAAATCTAAACTACTCTTTTTAAATGAAAATTTTTTCAACTAAGCGACTTCTAACATTATTATGAATAATAACTTTGCGACTAATTACTGTATGTATATGACTGCACAACAAATTCTAAATTTCAATGAAAATTATCGACAAAATCAATGTAATTTCAGTCGTTAGTCAAAAAAGCAATAAATTTGTATTTTGTAAGAAGCAGCACTTCGAATAGATAATAATATGTTTAAAGTGTATTTTTTACACGATAAGAATCGATAAATTATGATTATCAAAGCTATAGGATGTTGCTATATAATTGTATGATAAAATTAAAGATCTTGTATTATATAATATATATGAATAGTATTTAAATATTGATGTTTTTGTAATACTAAATTATAAAGTAGCTTAATATAATCGCGAACATAATTTTGAAATTTAGTTCTAGAAATCATGTAGTAAATAATTTTATTTGTAGATATTATAAACTTGCGAATTATTTACAATTTATGTATTTTACATTTGCAATATATATATATATATATATATATATATATATGTATATTGTAAATATGAGAAGTAAGCTCATAGATCTTCTCAAAGTGTTCAATGTTTAGAGGATGATCTGTTTAATGAAAGCATTTATTATTAAAGCAAATATTAGAAGTTTTTGTATATATTGTATTTAAATCATTTATATATGTATATATATATATATATATATATATATATATATCGAATAAACTTTTTCATTGAGCATTTTGAATAGATTATGAGTGCATGTTATGTACTGAAATGACTTCATTTGCTTATTTGATTTTGTACGTAGACGTTAATTTATGAATTTCTTTCTGCATTATAACAGCTCAGTAGCATTTTGATGGTACTTTTCTGAATATCAGATTCAATCTATCATATAAGATTCAATAAAGAATTTAAAAATGAATAATTTGAAACATAAAGAATAAGATTTGTTCAAAAGCGTTTACTCGTACCGTAAACTAATGTATTTTAGTATTAACGTATTTAGAATGATTATCGCAAAATCATGAATGAGATATTACACATTCAGGTACAACAACTTGGAAGCAATTACATTGCGGAATTGCGGATTTAATAGAAACGTTGCTCTCTAAATAGATTTAATTTTATTTTTGTAATTTGCATTTGATATAGCAAATCTTCATTAAAAACGTCCACCAAAATATTTTTAAAAGCGATATGTCATTTGACCTGAACGTATAATTGAAAATTCTGTAGTACAAGGTTCAAAACACCACGTAGAAAAAATTGCTTTGCTTTTGTGATCATGTAAAAGTGTATTGTTAAAATCACTTTAAAGTTTAATAAACGTTCAAACAATGAAAACTATAAAATTATAATGTTTCATAGAAGTATCTAAGTAATTTTTATATCAGGATTCAAAATATAATTTATATATGTACACGTATTAGCGCCATTAACATCATAATGTTTGAACTTATTAATTATATAGGATTATTATTTTTCTGTAAATAAAAAGATGCTTTACCTAAGAAATTGATGCGCACACATTTACGCAATGGTGAAAACGTGTTATTAATGGTTTTAATAATAGCGCATAATATATACTTCGATTCAATCTTTATAATATCTACATCTATTAAGTAGATATAATTCTCTTTGGCTTTTATCTATGATAAGTAATTATAAGAAATATCAAAATATTTGCACATAATGTATAGTATGGTGATTTACAGTTATAGATTTCTTTTAAATAATGTATATTAAAAAAAAACAATTATAATATTGTGACATATTTTGGTGCGATAACTAATGAATTTTATTGTGATGCACTTGTTACCAGTAATATATAATTATTTTACTATCCTACAACCATAAAAACGATATATTTACTAAATCATAATACAGCTATATTACTAATTATGGCTTAGTTTAAAAAATATTTTAAATTACTCATAAAGGCAGCATTCAAAACGTTCATATCGTATGATAAATAGTTGAAAAGTTTAAGTCGATCTTGATTCTTATTTTATTCTATTTAAGTTGAAATGACTTCAAGAAGTATTTATATATTAAATATTATCATATCAAAATCAGTATATAATTTTAAATAGCGTAACATCAATATTATTAAATATTTTTTAATGGCAAAATCATTTAAATATTTTCATATCAGTACATGCTTTGTTTTCTTAGAAGTATTGATTGAGATAATATCGATTTGTATCGAGTGATTTAACATAATTAATACTATATATTAAATTGCAATATACTTACGTGCAACGTATATTATAATAAAATACTTTAAAATCAGCATATATATGTATATATATATATATATATACATATATATATACATATATATATATATACATATATATATACATATATATATATATATATATATATACACACATATATATATATATATATATATATATATATACATATATATACATACATTTATATATACTTAGATTATAACGTTGTAGAATATTGTAGATAAAATAATTTCATAAAAAATAACATTATGTATAAAATATATAT